TGTTACCTGCTGTACATATACTGTCGTTACCATAGTTCAGGTGGGGAGCTGCATCAGCATGCATAGGCTGTAAAGGAACAAGTATTAGGTTTATTCCATGCTGAAGAGAAGAAAGAAAACACAACGTTTCGGCCTTGGAGCCTTCTTCTTTCTTCTCTTTTCTTCTTCTCTTTTCAGCATGGAATAAACCTATTACTTGGACATATACTTATACAGTAGGATACAGACTGTATACATGCCTCGGTGATCAGTTCAAAATCAACTGGAGGGCATCATGTTTGTTCAACAATATTGATTGCATCTCTTGTAGAAAGTGCCCAGTCATTTACACTGGCGAAACAGGAAGGCTGGTCGACCATTTCAGGGTCCACGTCAGAGCAGTGATGATCATATAGTAGATCTCTCCAAACCCATAGTGCCCCCACTTCACTTCTCCCGGTCACCACTACAGTGACCGTTCTGTCCGTTGTCTTTCACGGGATTCAAGAAATACATCAGAAGTCAAAATTATCTTGAAACTAGGTTTACACCTTCCCTCAGCTCTCAAATGTCGAGTCGATTCTTTCTAAATCTCTCCAATCGTTTCCAGATTCCAGCCTGTCACATGTTCCCTGGAATTAATTTCCCTGCTTTCCATCTCTTTCAACCTACTTCTCACCTCCTGTACCCAGCCTCAATCTCCAGCTCTTGCTCTTATGTTTCTTCATTCTCTACAGCTCATATTTTGTGCTTTTCTTCTTTCTTTTCTCTACAACCTCTTCTTGCTCCATTTCAGCCCACACAGTGACATGGCACCCCTCTCTTATCCTTTTATATGTAGTAATAAAAATATTCAACTGAGCAAAAGGGTGATTAAAAATCTCAATTAAGATGCACGATCTTCTCCAACAGTTTGAAAATGTTGTTCATTCTGAACCAAGACCTCCTTATCCCTATATTTGTAATTAAAAGTTTTAAGAGGGCTATGAGCAATGTCTTAACTCTCTTAAAGTAAAACTTTTCCTTTATTTTAAAGGAAATAAACGTACTACATTTGCTGTACATTCATACCAAGAAAAACAAGGTTCCTGAAAAAAATAAATCGATGGGACTTGTGTTTCACATTCTTTGAACCACCTTTGGTCATTAAGGACAATTGGCATCACAAGAGAATATGCCAAATATGTCACTACAGCTGAGTCAACTAGCAAACATATTCATTCTTTCCTTGAAAAGTCACTTTTATTTTCTCTTTTTGCAGGGGCAGGATTCTCTACCAGGTTCAAACATGGTCCTTAAAAAGGGTCCTTATTTAACAAATCTTCACTTTTTGGGGCTTGAAAACCATGACAAGGTTTAAGGGCTGGTCTTGAGAAACCTTAAGAGTGTTTCATGTGTGGCCTCCGATAGGATCGGATGGTGCTGAAGGGGTGAATGTTGGTACACAGGATGGCATTGTCCAGTGTGGCTAGCACCTCTTACCTCCAGGGCCACTGAATGACTCCTGAGTGAATGTTTTCATTGTTTGCCTGGGTGTCTGTGTAACACTGGTAAACTTATGCTTGCTTCTGAAAAAACAATAGTTCTTATGCAGGTCTAAATGCCTACAGGCTAAACTGACGCAGTTAAATAAGACACCGTATGCTGCTTACAGACACTGCCTAGTTGTGTAGCATGGATTACACGACGGCCAGGCTACATCAGCGTCCAGGAAAGGAAAACTTTAGCCTGATTGTTCTCATTAACGTCTGAAAACTGCAACAGACTTCCAATGTTAAAACAAATATAAACTCTTTTAAAATAAACTTAGCTAAATTAGTACCAGCACATGTCATTACAGTACCACCTTGGCTTTTCCTTTCCTGAACCCTAAGAAAACTGACTCTTCACCCCATCACCAAAATAAATGACCATATCACCATAAACCATAAATTATCACCATAAAGCTAGTCGACATTATAATTAAATAAATGATTACTATAATTTAGCAAAATAAATAGGCCTACTACTGTCTGTCTGAGTTCATGAAGGTTATAGGTTTGTGGACTGGAAACCAGGTGGCATCTAGCAGTTATTTGTTTAGATTGAACAGATAATTTCTCATGATCTACTGCTTTTTCAGATACTCTTTTCCCTAAAATTCTCAAGGGATAAGGTGGTTTAAGAATGGACATACCATTAGTGGTGCTTTATTTTGTCCTTGGATGTGGTTGAAAAGGTCACTGATTCAAAAGGCATTTTAATTACAATTCCATGCCTGCTCTTGGCATTCTCAGCTCTTTCTGGGGTGACAAGATTCGTTTTTGAAGAGGTTTCAAGTTTCAAAGTTGTCAAACATCTACAGGCGGTTCTTGAAAGAAAAGAAACAATATAGGCCTTTATTTCATAGCACAGGTGATCATATTTCTGTTGTGGCACAAATATCCTTGACCACTGGCATATTTTTTATCTACTAAAAAGCTTTATCCTACAAGAATTAAGAACAGCCACCAAATGAGCAAATCAAATACCTACATTAACAATATATTGACATATTTGTTCTTGAATTTCATCTTCATGAAAACTCATTGCAGAGACATGTGACTAAATTGGATAATCCACCACACCAAATTTAGAGCCAGTGAGCTCGTTTCTTTATACTATTATCTCTAGTTTTGAATCTCCATTTAGCATGAAGCATATATTTTTAACCTTGCACATTTCAATGAATGTAAAGCAATACAATTTAACCACAACATAGTCCCTGAGGTGTCCGAAGCACAAACCACATTTAAACCAACCTCGATCCACAGTAGTGGATTCCCACAGAACGCTTATCCTGGACTGATTTTGGACCATTTGTTTTCCAAGGGGTTGTTAAAGGTTGTTATTACCTTTAAGGTACAATCAGCTGCCCCCATCCGTGGGGCTTTCTGAAACGCACTAGAAGTAAATTGTCACTAAGCAACTCAGACCTCCTGATTTTGAGCGCCATGAAAGTGGTTTTCAAGACAAACCCTCAAATGCTGTTCTGATGCAAGTGATCAAGGCTATGGAACCTGTGGGGAAAAAACTGAACACAACACATAGAGGAAGATACTGTAGCTCCAGCAGACCCTGAAAGTTCTTTCAGAATTCCACTTTTTAGACAGAAAGCTGTATAAATTAACAGACACTTTTCCACCTGCTTCAAAGTATCATTACAGCTTTGTTTGAAGAGTGAGACAACCCCAGTGTTCAATGTTAGCTTTCAGAAATGAAGAACCTGAGGAGGTTAGATTGAGGATTCTTGTCTGGATGCCTTTAAAGAAACTAAAACAACTCTGGAAATATTTTATTATAACATCGATATATGAGATATGGAAGACACCTGATTATACAGTAGTTTCATTTCGTATCAACCTTGTTTTTCTTTTCCTGCAAAGGTTTTGTGGTCCTTCGCAGTTGTAAAATCTCCACAAATGTCATACAGTCCAAATGAAAGCCTAAGGTCATCAAATTCAAATGATGACTTCCTGATTAGATCTTGGCAGCCTTTTATAGATTTTCTCTAACAATAGTGCATGCTATTAGAGCTTGCCAGTCAAACATTTTGGCAGAAAAAAACCACTGGCAAATGGCAAATCCTGTCTTTCTGGCATTATCTCACACTAAATATTTAAACCATTCTTTCCTGAAGACCCATAAAAACTCAAAAAACAGTAACAGCAGAAAAGCAGATTGAAAAAAGGTGACTTATTTAGGATGAAATATCTGCTGAGAGTGCATAGTTCGTAAAACAGACATAATACTGGCCTGACCTCAGAATTACAAGTTCTGTAACTGTAGATGCTCAGTATTTGCTCCTCGCATTTCTGTTAGACCTGAGTTAAGTTTTAGACAGAATTTGTTTAAACACAGCTTCGGTACAGCTTCAACTCCTCGGTGTCAAAACGAGACCTAATATGAAGACCACAATTTGTGACAATGACGTCACATTCAGACGCTGCACAGGCAATTGGCACGGTTTGCAGGTCACACCCCTTTTCCAGACGAAAGCCAATCAGCACACAAAACCAGATTTACCAGACAGCATGTGGCTACTGTTTCCTTCATTATTGTGCTGGCTCTCATAACCTCAGTACTAATCACTGGGACTGTGCTTTTGTCTTCTCAAAGGCTCCCTGGGCAGAATAAAATTCTTTTGAACTACCAGCATTAATTAGTTCCGAATGAAATGCAGGACAAAATCAGACACAAGACAATTCTCATTCCTTAATTAATAATTATACTTTGGAGGTAGGTAGGGTTGCCAATTGGCCCAAGATCAACTGGACACTTTGAGACAGGATGGGGCTTGCATATTGCCTCCATACCGAAACGTGAAAGTGTTAAGGAAGTGGAATTACGTAATTGGTTTATTCTCTTGTTGTCGGCCAAACTTTCTAGCAATCAAATCTCAACAGCTGATCGCCATTACCTCTACCAAAGACCACGTGTGAATGAAGTGGATGTACCGTAACTGACAGAAGGCGAATCCAAGTTCATAATAGGGCTAAACTGCAAGATAAAGCAAATACAAAGTATTCATGACAGAGTTCGTTGTTTTTTTCCCCCACGTAACAGTACTGTAGATATATTTAAATACTGCCTTCTGATAATTAAGCGGCATCTTAAAGTCGTACTTTCTCAAACTGTCCAGTTGACAACCCTGGGTGTTCGGTAATCATGCTTGGCATCTGTACCGTACCTACTTACTATTCCACGAAGAGAAAGAGATAAACTATTTTAGGAGTGTCGCAATCAGACTTGTGCGCTTCAGCATAGCCGCACCTCGTCGCTTTCAAGGACACCAATGGCACGCTATTCTGCTACATTAAAAGACTTTCGAAGCTAGCAGGGCAAAAACGCAGATGCGTAACTTAAAGAAGAATGTCGTTTGGGTACCTAAGCTAAGAACGTCGCAGGATTAGTCTTTCCCTTGACCAAGTTATTGCAAGTTTTTGCCTCTGTATACGTGAGACAATATTACCATCTTAACTTTACATGAAGAAGAAACTCACCAGTCCGTCACAGTTGCTTATAGCCACTGTCGCCTTTGGCATGTCCGTTACATCCCCAGTGAAAACGCAATCGCCATGAACGCGTCCCTTAGAAATGTTTTCAAAGTCTTCTTGCCATTCCACAAAGGCCCCCGGCGCAACAAGCCTCCTGTTGGGTTTTAGACGCAAATGCAAATCCCTCCCAAAAACGGTGACATTGAAAAACAACTGTTCACCCGTCGAGTCGTATGTCTGGGTGTCGGGGGCGCTGCGGGCCACTCTCCTCTTGGATGGCGACCCGGCGCCTGTACTTCCAGCTGCTGAGACCACGTGAGAAATATACCGGCCCTGGGAGTCGGTGCTGAACGGCACGATAAGACCATATTCACTTAAACTTCCAGAGAGATTAGCTGATGGAAAAAACACGCACGTCAGGCAGACATTCATTGGAAAAACTTTAATACAGCAGTATATAGTGAGCACTGTACATCACCGAGCAGAAATAATATGCTTACTAAGAAATATCTTAAAAGACGTTACTGGTTTTATAACAAGCGGTACATGACCCTTATTAGTGATCAAAAGCTGTATCAGGCTTTTATTAATTAATGCATCTAGACTTCTACCAATTTTACAAACAGTAAATAATATTCGAATTTGCTTTTTTTCGTTGCAGTCTCTTCCTCAGTAAGACGTCTGTTAAAAATTAAATTCATGAAAATAATCATTTATCGGTATCAGCACAAAAAGCCACACAGCTTATTTTTAATGCATAATGAACTACCTGAACACCTGCCAACATTCACCTTCTAGAAAGGTGTCCTCAAGCTAAAACTGTTACTTTAATTGCATTACATTGTTGGTACTGTAAAACGAATTGTAATGGAATAAATACAGTCAACAAGTAAGCAAAACGCTCACCTGAAGGTTTTGCAGCTTGCCAGGAATCCAAAAATAATAAACTAACAAAACAGGACAGTATAAAATAAATACAATCCATCGTGAGGCAAACGGGAATAACGTTTTCTTTTGAATTTACAGCCACTTTTTTTTTTGCTGAAATGCACACTCTTCTTGGCCCTAGTTAATGTTCATAGGAAAAGTTCTCAATGTGCTGCTGCAGCCAAACTGCCAAGCATTCTGAACGTCACCCTAAACTCTAAACTGACGGATATTCATAAGTTGTTCCAATCTTTTGGCCTCTGTTGAACTGTGCATAAACCGGGACAGCCCCATCCATTTAGGAAGAAAAAAAGTCGGCAGTGTTGGTGACGACATCTCCCCAGCTAATCACAGAGTTGAGTGAAGTCTACACTGTGAGCAGGAGATCGGGGCTGTTTGGGTTTCGGGGTCTTTATTGCTGCAAACTATGTAGGTGTAGATTTTTAGAGAGAGACAGACCGGTGGCGGTACCAGTGTTTACTGAAGAGGCTCGCCGTGCACAATTACGCATTGACTGCAGTTTTTGTCCTTAAAAGTTTTTTTTTAGTTTAAAGAGTGCAGCGCACGTTAAGAGTTCTGAAAATAGTTCAAGGCCAATGATACAGTAGGTAAGGAAACAACTTCGGGTTATTGTAATGTACAATTAACTTTTTCAAGTGATGAGTGCAGAGGTGCAGTTTTAGCGTTGTTAAGTGCGCGCTGTTCCACTTATACTTAAAAATAACTCGGTTAGTTTGTCCATCCGTATCTGTCGCGATATCGTGTTTTTTTATGAAAACGACAATAACAGGCACAGACAAAGCCTGTAAGGGATTAACCGAGAGAGAAACCAGCCAACTTCATTTTAGCACATTGGGGGTTTATTTTCTTGTTTTAACCATTGAAGTATAAGGCATGCTGCACTTTTGTACCATTCTGAAAAAGAAACTTCTTAAGTCATGCAGCGCCTTGGAAGACCTTATTCACCCGAAAGTGAAGAACAGTGCTATTATAATTTACTTTCGCTAACAGTCATACTCATTTTTAATGTGATGAAAGTCTATTTTTTGCGCATGCGAGCTGGCAATAAATTCTGGTACATCCTTTCCCAGTACGAGAAAGAACACATATATATTGCTTTAGATATTTTATAAGATTTTTTTAAGAATGAAAATATTTTTGGTGGTTTTAGTAAGTTTAAGTCAAATATTTCATACGTGGATCGAAAAGAAAACCTACATTTACTTTTTTGCATTTCAAATATTTTCTTTGAGGTTTTACAAGTAAAGCAGTTCATCCAGATTTTTTTTTTTTAAGATTTGGGTTCATTACTGATCTTAAACGTGGCAAATTCTAATCTCTGATATACAGTGGGGTTAATATTTGAAAAAAAAGATGCACTTATAACTGAAAGTTCAGTCCCGAAAAGATAATCGTTCTCGACAGGTGGCGTTACTTCATCTCCGATCCTATAATGCTGTACTCCAGAGCTCTAGTATGAAAGCATGGGAGGGTCTATATTAAATCACTCTTACACAGGCAGGATGATAGCAATGACTCAACATCGTTGAAGAGATGATTTCAGCCTCCTGTCACTTTCAACAAATCAGTCAAAACTTTCCTTCTGTAAGAACAAACGGCGGTTATCAAAGGGTCGCGGGACCCCTTAAAACATGGATGTGATCCCTTTACAGTTAATATTTGTAATTCCGTGAGATTTATAAAACACTTTTTTATCCTAAAGGATGCCACTGTGCTCTACCTATAGAAGCCGACCAGGTTCATTCCCCAGTGAAAGGCAGCAGTCGTCTGGGTGACATGTGGCAGCCATTGTGCATCAACATCGCCGCTACACCGCAGACCAGGTGGAGACATTGCTTCAGCACTTGAAGTGCTGTTGACAGTGTGCAAGCCCAGAGTGGAATTTAACCAGGATACAGGTTTAATACACTCTTACAAACAGTGCCTTTCATGGCCAAGTAGTCTATTTTTTGTGGTTTTAACTGAAGGACAGCATCTCCTACAACACAGTGTCTCCAGTCACCATACCTGGGAAATGGTTTGTAAATTCTGCTCCAGGGGGGAAAGAGCCACCTACCGATCCACCAACATCACTTAGAACCTACTGGTGCATCATGATATTCTAAATAAAGTGTGCAGAACATTTCGTACATGTTTAGGTTTTGTTTTTGATTTATGATTAATTAAAACATTCCCCATAGTCTAATGTGGTTTTTCAGTTAGTTTTAGAATGTATTATTAATGTTTTCTTCATGAAGTTTTGTCACCAAATTTTGGTTTTACACTGCTTTACTGTGATTGTCTTGTGTAGTATAGTGTCTCCGAGCATGATTTAAAAAATATACAAAACAGAAAAACTACTTATGTTAAGTACAGCCTTTGCTTACTCTTCCTGAAATGTAAGATATTAAGAAGAATCTTACAAAACTGATATACAGTAGGCTCTCTTGGCCAAAGAAAGAAACTGCATTGTAAAAGATGTTTCAAGCAAGCTAGTGCACAGGCTGCACTTGAGGTACTGTAAGTGTTGTACTAACAGAGCATTTTTTCTTTCAGAGTTTTCAAAGAAAAGTGTCAGTTGGAACAGTAATCATTCAAGGTACATCCTTTAGGATTTGAGAACTACAAGTACATTCTGTGTAACAGAAAGGCCTTTGCTAGGTCACCCAACGAATGTCACGTTATTCAATTAAACCTTGTATTCAATAATACAGTATGTTGTGACAGACAGAATATCTGAATACAGTCTAAAAACAAAAATACAGCCTCTTCATTTGTACCTGAAATTCATGCAATGGATGAGGGAAGTTTAGTCTTTTAAGTTATTTGTGTGTCAGTGCTTTAAAATATCAAATATTCGGCTAAAGTCATGGTTGCACAAATTCCATTTTGTAGGAAGATTGAGTTCAGACAATCCTGAGGATGTCAGTCTTAATACTGTATCTATCCAATCACTTGAATAGGCGGGCATAGAGAATAACTCTGTGTTTCCAAACTGAACCTTTGACGAGGCTTGACAAGTATCAGTGATGTGTTTTATAGAAGGTGCATTGCTTTTACCCATCTGTACAAATATTTGCAATTTCAAAAGTCATATTTATAAACGCTGCACGGAACATAAACAGTATGAAATAGCCTTTTAGCCTGACTGTTTTCCAAGAGCCCATAATAGAAAAGAAGGATGAGATACGACTTGGCCCATGTTTGATGTTGTTCCAACCTTGCAATTTGTGCTTAAACATTAATTTTATTTCTGTTTAGTTTTTGTTGTAAGAATTTTAAGTTTTGAGTAAGCTTAAAGGCAGCTTGTAGTATTTCCCCTTTTATTTAGATAGGTTCAACCATTGATAATGTGAAATGGTAAAGAAGGTGCATCAGTGAATTAAAGAACCAGTTTGCATTTGGCTTTAGGACATATGGAAAGCAATCAGTGAAGAAGGTACTCAATCTATGTCAATGCCAGGAAAACATACAGTATTTATTATAAAGAACATAAGAATGGTTACAAATAAGAGGGGACAATTTGGCATAATATGACATTTGTGGATAATATAAGCTGATGGTCTTTCTTTGCACTAATATACCACACTTTCCTTGACGGTATTGTCTACTACTAATGCTATCTAAGGGTCTGAATAGTTAACAAAATTTGCAAAAATAATTGATTCATCTCAAGCTAGATCTTTTTTTTCTGTCCCGAAGTAATTCTTTGTTAAATGTATGAAAGTAATCAACAGCCTTTTTTCGCCCTGAAACCACAATGATTACTCAAAACATCCATCCCACGTGTGATGACTGTACAGTATGAAACAATCTCCCACACGCTGGTGGGGATGTTTAACCAAAGCGTGACTCACCTAATGACAGAAACTGTCAGAACCATCCATGTCAAAGCAGGAGAGTCAACAGAAGGGCCGCAGAGTGTTTCAGTAAGGCAGAGATCTCTGCTAAAGGCACAATGCTTGCAATGTATTCCCCAGACCATAAGCTGAATTCGGCTGAAACAGTTTGTGACGAAGTGAGATGGACATTACATTCTAATAATTAAACCGGATTTACCATTTCAGATATTTTTTTTTATAATTTCAGTTAAGGCATAAGCAGACTACGGGGTTATGTAGTCTAATAATTGAATGTGAAAAAAAGATAAAAATAATGGTTTCATCTTTTTACAAACACAATGTTTTAATCAATGCAGGTAATTAAATTAATGAAACAAGTGTGGACCCAAATTGTTGTTTGGAGGGGGGGGTCCTGTGTTCTTTTTCTTTTGTGGTTTGACACAAAAATCGCAGTAATCCAGCAGTTTGCCTTCCAGTATTCTACACAAGTATAGTCAACAGCTGACTGTGATTCCCTTTACAGGACTGGGAAGGAATGGGAGTATTCGCTTTCAGATACATCCTTTTTTTCCTTCTGTGGTGCCCTTGCAGTTTCTCCATATTGAGTGGCAGATCACCAAGTGCCACACGGAGAGAAAAGCGACAGCTCTTTGCGGATGGATTGTTATGTGAATCTGCTTTTTTTTTCTGGAGGTAAAGGTGCAAGAAACACATTGGAAATACATAAAAAACCATTACAGTGATTTCTAATTAGGTGGTTTCAACTCAACTGTCTTGTCTTGGTTTACATTGGCATGATAAGAGAAGGGAAGCCATGCCCATGTCAGTGCCTTATCTTAGAATCACCCTTCAAGCCTAAAGATTGTGGTTTACAACTGGAAGGTCTAGACTGACTGTTCCTGACCCAAACAATTACCAGAATGTCTGCAGTCAGAGGAATTTACCACAGCTCCTCTCCGTTGTGCTCTGCCTGACTGTAATTGTCTACATTCTCCACATGCTGCAGGTAATAAATTAAGATTTTTTAAGGCATTGGGATCTGGGAGCTGTATGACGGATTCAGCTCCAGATGAAAAAGTTTGTAATAGATGGAAACCATTAAAAGCCGTGTAACAGTTTTTATGTTCTTTTTCCATTGAAAATGAAACGTGTTTTAGCACCTTTAGAAAGGCAAGTTAGATTATGTAACATATGGTGTCAAAGTGAAACAATTGCACAGAGTACAAGAGCGACTCTCTGTGTCACAGATGCTGTGCTGTGTGGAATGTGAATGCACAATTGTCACTTAATTTGGAAATTTGAAGAAAGCAGACAGAATATACAAATCAACAGTCATCAGCAGCAAATCTTTTAATGTTAGAATCAGCCTTGGTGTATATGAACTGATTCTCTATATATGAAGTAAGACTAATGAAAATGTGTAGAAATTTGGCTT